TATTCCAGTTGCTTCACGTGCACCACACGAATAACAAGACTGATTAGCTCCACTGAAGATGTAAGAGATGTTAGAGTTCTGTGATAGAAATTTCCTGCCACAACTTAACACTGACGAAACCTTCTTTATTTCTGATGAGTTTCCCAGACATCCGTCTAAGTGTAGGCCAGGGAAGTCTTGTAACTTTGTGTAACATTGTGTTGCAGGTTTTGTATTATTACAAGTCTTAATGTTAGTGGTCGCAGATGAGATAGTTACAAGTAGCCAAATGGAAAATATTTTTACAAACATCATGGTGGATAAAGCCAGACTCAACTATAGCTCAACCCGCGTCGAATGACCAGACCAGAATTACCATGTAGCTATATACTTGATTTTTATTGAACTTATCAATAGCTCAATAGAATCCATTTGTATTTCGGTTCAAGCAAACTTAAAAAAAAATAAAACGCGGAAAACGAAAAAGTGAGAATAATACGAAATCAATGGTCCATTCCATAAAAAAATCAATCAGAAAATCAATTATACAAAATTCGTTTTTTTATGAAAAAAGTTTTTTTTACAGATTTTATAATAAAAATTGCGGGATACATTTCTGTATACTGGTGCGACCACGAAATAAAGCTTAGTTTGGCGTGATTGAGTGCTCTCCTAATGCCGTTTTCTCGCCTGGGTACTGGTAAAAAAAAACCCACAGCCAACATTGTTGGCGAACAATAATCAATTCTCATTCATCACATATAAATCAATGAGAAATCCAAGTACTCCAGCTGTCATGCTGCACGGTGTAATACAACTTTTGCTCTTTATGTACTGGAGATGACGGCAGATCATCGAGTGCTTGGCTTCGGGCGTAAGTATAAGCAACGCAGGCGCTTTAGTGGAACACTGTGTGAAAAGGAAAGATGGCTCTCGCAAAACAGACCTGGAGAAGATGTAATCTTGTAGAACTGAAGATATCAGATATATATATATATATATATATATATATATATATATATATATATATATATATATATATATATATATATATATATATGTATATATATAAATATTGTAATAAATGTTATATAAGAATAAATTTATACACACATGAATGTATATTTTTATATACTATATATAAATATTTTCGTACACATTTATGAGAGCCTCTGTATTTAAATGGTCTTATAATTACGTTTTCTCTACTAAAGATTGAGTGAGACCTAGATGAACGAGCGCTCATGATTTATTTTCACTTCCAGCTACGCCCCTGAGTCGATGAGTGTCGAGGCCTGCTAGACTGATGGAATAGTGTGATTAAACCCATTGATTTGACATCTGTAATAAAACACCCTTATGTACATAAGCGGAAAAAAATAAAATAAAAAAAATCAGTGCATATGTATTAATTGATTTTGATAGAAGAAACCAAGTTAGCCGAATAAAACTTTGAGACTTTATTAATTGGAACTCATAACTTTTTTTTAAAAAAATTCTTATTTATAAGTGTTTTGAAATTGAGAAACATTTCTTACGACATATTAAAAATATAAACTAACGTCATTTAAAATAAATTATTTTAAAATAAAAGGATGAAACAATATAGTTAATGTGTATCTGTAAAATTAAACATTTGCGTCTGTTCAAAATGGTACGTTGCCATATGGCTACAGTATGCAATATAGGGTTAACATTAAATTGAATTATACAATTAACACCTTAGAATAATATCAATAAAGGCTCTAATATTTTAAGAACGTTTTGTTTACAGTAAACATCTTCGGATCAGGAAGCAATGACAGCTGATGTTAACAAGAGTGGGCTTTAGTTTAGTGGCTCGAAGTAATTTCAAGGGAGACAACCAGTATTCATACAGATCGTGTCTGATTATTTAAAACAAAAGTAGACTATTGATTATATGATAATTTTTCGTGTGAGACCTCACCATCGAGAATATGGACTGTGTTTAAATCAGCAGCAAACCCCCCCCCCCTCCACTCTCCATACACCGCAATCCGTTGACTTAACCACACCTCATATCTATTGTTCATAAAATAGATCGACTGTCATCAACTCTATACACTCGTGCAACACTGTGTTGCAAAAACGTCATTCAATCAAGGGAAAGAACTTTATACATTTTATCCACCAAGACTTTTTCAACACATTATCACCCTTTATTAAAAACTCAACCTGTGAAATCATTTTGATGAAGTATTTGAGAAATGTAATCATTCTAATGTTTTGGGAAATTTGTAAAGAACATGATTTTTAGAAAAGGTAACTTAAATTACTTTAAATACTACTGAGTGGAATCAGAGTTTCTTCCAGGCATCTCTTCGGGGGGGGGCGAAGCCCCCCCGAAATTTTTTTACCGCCCCCCCCCCCGAACGGAATGAAATTTATTTAATTTATATAGAAAATATATACTTTTAACAGTGTCCGCCCCCCCGAAGAAAGTTTACCGCCCCCCCGAAAATTTCAAGTGCCCCCCCGGAGAAAAAAGTCTGGAAGAAACACTGAGTGGAATTCTGTATTTATTAAATTAAAGACCTTACAACACTGACAAAATTATTAGACACTAAATGTAAGAACATGTGATTACGTATATAGTGTCAACAAAGATGTACTCGATATCGAAACCACGTGCTAAATTCACAACAAAACTTGCCGTCGATGTACATTAAAAACTTGTCACCCCTCACGAGAATGTAGTGGCTGACGTTCCGGTTGATGACGCTGCCGGTCAAGGTCAGTTTTTTATACAGCTGATTGTCCCAAATCATGTTGACACGGAGGAATAACTCCACCGTTAGTGTCCCGGTTGACTGGACGTTCGTTTCTATATTTAGGTTGTAGGTGGTTGAGTTCACGAACAAATAAAAAGTTGGCCCTGTACGGCCAGAAAAACATGTTAAATATTTTATTTAACTTGCTTCCTCGTCCAGTCTGTCTGTCGTCATAGATTGACATTTCGGGCACTTCTAACTTGACAGACATGAAGACAATACAATCTGACATTAATTTGATGGAAATCTATTGTATATAACATTTTAAATATTAAGAACTGAAAATAATTCATAAAAAGCGTTTTATTATTAAGCTTTTATGTAATAATGAACTGAAAGGTAGAAAATAAATGATTTTCTTTTTACACAAAATAATACACTACTATTTAAATAACTATAAAGAAAATCTCTAGCTTTTGTTGAAGTGTCTAGCAAGGAATTGGAAAAAAATGTATTAGCAATATAACACTCGAAAAATCTTGAAGATTGGATTCATTAAATTGTGTAATAAAAATTGTCTCACTAAGGGTTAGGTTCCAGAAAAAAAGAAACATCTTTATTGATAAGATTTTTTTAAAAATGTATGTATGTGTATTTAAGTTAGTGTACTTAAGGGAAAAGATTTGCATACATCGGAGGCTTGTGAAAACATAATTAATATGGCAACGGAGGCAAACTTGAAAAACTTGAAAAATACACCATTTTATGGAGATCTCAAATTTTGGTCAATGTAAATTAAATTCAACTGTCCATTTTAATTAATTTTGAAATTAACGAAATATTTCCAGTGTTTAGTGTTATAAAACTAGCCATCATGATTCCATTAGAGCTAGTATAAAGGAGGATCATTGATTATGGCATACGATGAATATATATGTAAGCGTTTGAACATTAAAACCAACACTGTTTTTTAAGATGTTTGTTTTCAAGTGTTTTTTTTTAAGATGACCACATGGCAACCATATTTTCAGAAAAGTCGCTGAAACATGCACATATTTCCTATTATATTAATGAAGTTGTATTTTACGGGTGCATAAACCCTCATAAACGGCACTTTAGCCCGATGGAGAGGGCAATAGAAAACTTCTATTGTACTTATAAGCCAGGCTTCTCTAAAGAAGACATTCGCCAGCCCAATTGTCATTTAATTTTAAGTAAATCAAAGTAAATTAGCAATTTAATATAACCACTGTACTTAAAACCCTAAATTCACACAGCACTCTTTATGTCATACGTTTCCTAAATCAATAATTTAGCCATTGTTTATGTTGAATGTTCGTCGATGTCTTCCTGGTGATTGTCTCAATGCCCATATTAAAAAATAAAGCTGTAAGTTTAGCCAGGAAACACATAACGATCTGAACTAGGTGCTACTATTGTTGTTAGATAAAACATTTTTCTCTAGGTATCCAAGTTATTCTGCTGTACTGAATGGTAACAAAGAAACGGCGATACGGCGAATTTTTGTTTTCAATGAACCAGAAAAATCTTTCATAAGAATGTAAATGGCAAAACATAATATATTTTATGTTTAAACTTTAAATACTGTGCTTTTTCATGAACTCATGCATTAGTACATTTATATTTTACCTGTAGTAAAATATTCTAATGCATATTAATATAAATGCATGTTTTAAATTTAATAAAATTGTGAATTTCGTTTCTTAGATAACTAAGACTAATCTTATGCCCAAAATAAGCTGAATCTTTGTGTTTATTAAAAATGATTACTTTACTCAAAAAACATCAAAACCATAACTTAATCTGTTTATCGATGCAGCTTTTTCACACATTTCTTAGAAAATTAACGTATGAGCAGATAATTTATTTAGTAGATGTGGAAACCATTTTGACGCATGAGTTAACAATTTCGAAAACATCATTTCAATACAATTACAGAAAAGTATACTTTAATTTTAAGTGAAACATATTTCAGATGTTACATTTAAAATTTCTTTCATGTATGAAAACCGCAATGTGTTTAAAACATTACGCTCTACCAATTTACTCTTTTAAAGTAATATTCTGGTATTTGACTTTAGCGTATTAGCTTAAAATATTAATTTAAGCTTTCGTATGCAGATAAATTTATCGAAAAACTAAAAGTAACAACATAACATACATGAATAATAAGCTACAAAAATACTATTCTTATGTTCTTTTATATGAAAATTTAGTCCCAATGTTAGCTTAAAACAATTTTTGTTATCTGTATACCGATAACATAATCTAAAAACTAAATGTAACTACGTGCATCGAGGCCCACAGTGTCATTCCCGTTGTCAATGACGTAGACACCAGATGTTTGTATTCGCAACAAAACTTGCCAGCAGTGTAAATTAAAAACTTGTCATCTCTCACTAGAATGTAGTGGCTGACCGTTCGATTGATGACGTAAGTGTTCATGGTCAGAAAACTGTGCTGAGGATTCCACACCGAGTTGATTTTTGTGGACAAATCGGCAGTTAACCTTCCAGTGGGGTCAACGTTTGATTGAAATTTTAAGTTGTAGGTGGTAGAGTTCACGAGAAAGTACAAAGTAAACGAATCACCCGCACTGTAGTCTACTAGCAGATATACCTTGTGGATAAAGAGAAATATATTTACTGTTTAAATAGTTATATATATATATATATATATATATATATATATATATATATATATATATATATATATATATAGAGAGAGAGAGAGAGAGAGAGAGAGAGAGAGAGAGAGAGAGAGATAAGTGTGTGGGAATGTGTGTTTAGAAATTTTCAATGGTTTGTCCATTGAAACACACATAGCTGAAGCACGATTGATGTTATATATCGTCTTTTAGGGTACTTAATTGCAGTAGCGTAGCGAGGGGGGGGGGGGGGACATATGTCCCCGGGCGCCGACCTTAGGGGGCGCAAAAATGGATTGGAAAAATAAATTGGAAGGTTGAGGTGGGTGCAAATCGAAAGTTTGAGGGGGTGTGCAAATCGAAATCTCCTCGAGGGGGGGGGGGGGGGGGGGTGCAAATCGAAAAGTTTGTCCCCGGGCGCCGGGAAGGGTCGCTACGCCTCTGCTTAATTGCGAAGCATATGTTAATTTCATCATTATTTCATTGTATTCATATTATTTAAAGTGCTTAACTCATGATTGCATAGAAATTGGAATTTGTGACAAAACAGTTTATCTTCAAGGAAAACTGAATGCTGAAATATTTTACACAATCAATGTTTATAAGTAATTAAAAAAGTAAATACTGATTGTCAATTTTAATAACCAAATCTTCACCTCAACGAGCGTTCTTTATGTCGAAATAATTTCGTGACACTGTATATATAATAAAACAACGTAATTATTATTAGAAAAATTGGTTTATACTTTCAATAGTCAGCTGTGTGCCATATCTGAAAGACGAAAGGGGCACGAGGTATCAAGCAATTATCACCATTTCGTTCTGTCTTTTGTCATAGCCACTATCCGCTGGAATGTTAGACCTATAACTTTAAAGTACGACCCAACATATATACTCTATGTTTCTTTTACCTCCATCGTGGTTTCAAGACCAGTGGTGTCAAATGAGGTTCAATGCTCTCATTGTTTGCAGACAACACAACCATCTCATGTTTAGTGTGCCTGTATGAAGGTTCCTTTAATCTTATTGCTTTTGTCAGAAAATTCTAAATATAGGGAGCAAGCATATTTTTGGAATACTTTTGTCATTTCCAACGCACCCGTTGTTTTCCGACATTCGAAGCATTACCGAAAGATATTAAAATATTAAGTGCAACACAGTTGAAAATACTTAATTTGGAATCTATGCTTAAACTTTCCAAAACAACTCTTAAAATTCAAATGTGTCAGGGAGTATTTTTTTTAAAGTTTGGTATGCGACACTCTTAATTCACAGTTTTAATAAAATTTTCTTATGAGTGACGGGTTTACCGGGTATTCATTACTTTACATGCGATACCGATGAACACCATAAAACTTTTTCAAAGACAAGAAATACATGTTCAGTGCACTGTTCTATTCTTATCAATGTTTCACGACCTGTGTGTGATCCATTCCGAATCCGCAGTTGCGAAAACAGATCAGTTCTTGCCGCAATAGTAAACTGATAAATGTTAGGCACGAAAATCGAAGACTCGACAAGGTATGGATGTCTAGTAATCATGTATACATGTGCAGCTACTACTATATAATTAATCACAAAATTATAACTTCATAAGCATTAAACAGTTTTACATAATATAGAGTGATATAATGAGGCTATTACGTATACATTATCATAGTAAAAAACATACAGAACAATCTTTTAAATAACTAACTTATAAATGCACTAGAAATAAGAACATAAAACTAATTTACTTTCTTTATTAAAACCTCCAGTTACTCTTGATATCTCTTACATGTTTTAGCGACCGACACTTTAATTATTGGAAGCAAATTCCTTATATTGTCTTATTTTCATTGCATTTAAATGCTTGTTAATGTACAGGACGTAATAGTTGTTTTATTTTCCACGTTTTAGTCATTCAATCGAAATGAGGCTGATTCTACAAAAGCAACGACGGAAAATATTTGTGTTAAAACCCGATCAGTTGTTTGTGATATCAAAATTTAAGTTGTCTACCACTATTTAGTTTTTGGTTGACGATCTGGGAAGAAATTAGCCAACCGTGAGAAATAGTTCACCCTCGAGTGCGCTTTGGTCAAGACATCGCTAGCATTTTATCTTGTTGTCTCCCTTATATTATTGAATATAGTAGTCATTAAATTAAATCGTCTTTCTGATAAGATTACAAATTATTATTGCATTGTCTTTGAAGAAGGAGGTATCCTAAAATATAAAAGCCCATGTGCGCACTTCTCTCTCTCTCTCTCTCTCTCTCTCTCTCTCTCTCTATCTCTCTCTCTCTGTCTCTGTCCGCAATATGTTTTGGCAACGTCGTCAGCGTGTTCAGCGATATATGAAGGACTTAATGATACGGACTTTTGTTGAAAATAATATGGTGGATGGTATACATGTATACACTAAATTTTTAATAAAAAAATAAAGGCATATTCAAAAGTAGAAAATAAAGCTTTTATTGTCGTGACAAGAACGCAATAAACAATGACGTCACATGACACATGTTTAAACTAAGAAAAGAACACAAAACTAATGTCGTCATCTTCCAGTTTTAAATATAAAGAAAAAAACTACTTCATTAAAATGTGATTTAAATTCACGCCAATAATGAGTTTCTATACTGAACTATTTTACGTCTTGATTATTTTATATAAGTCTTTATTTGCTTAGTTATGGAATTGGCTAATTTGGTACAAAATGTCATTTCAAATAATAGGTCCTAAATACCCCATTTATCAAGCAACTAAGCCAGTGCCAAAATAGCTGAGATGATGGTGTAATAGTTACCAGGAGGGTGGTACGGGTTCGAGGCACACCAAATCAATCTTAAATATTATTATTTTTTTTTTAGATGTGAATGATAAAGTAGCCTATCGGGACTTTGCGGGACACGGGGCAGGTGAAGTAGAGTTCACCTGTTTCTGTCTTCTCAGCATACGAAGCGATAGTGCGGTCAGACCCATGCTCAGGTGTTTTTAAAAGACAAAAGCAAGTAACTACCATTGAACAGCAGGTGTTTTTTCTAATAAGTATTGGTGGTCTATGTTCTTTGAAATGTGTCGGATTTTTAACTATTTCGTTATTTCTTTGTTTTGTCACTTATATCGTTCAACATTGCGTTTTGACCAATAACTTTTTTATAAAATATTTTTCTCAAACAAGTACAACATAAAATATAGAGGCCTATAGGCGACGGGTAACGGGTACCGATGGCTAGTATGGAATAAAATTAACAAAACACTGCAATAGATGTGTCTCAAAATTTAGTTACAGGATTTGCTACAAACATAGAATCAAAGTAATATTGGTAACCAAGAAAAAGGTTGTTAAAATTGTACTTACCACTGAGCCCACTTGTAACCCTTTTACATTTACTCGTGCAAGAGATGAGAAGTTCTGCAATACCTTCGTTCGTGGCAAGAACAGATAACTTGATATGTTAAATATGATACCAGTAGCAGTACTTGCCTCACACGAATAACAAGACTGATTAGCTCCACTGAAGATATAAGAGATGTTAGAGTTCTGTGATAGAAATTTCCTGCCACAACTTAACACTGACGAAACCTTCTCTATTTCTGATGAGTTTTCCAGACATCCGTCTAAGTGTAGCCCAGGAAAGTCTTGTAACATTGTGTAACATTGTGTTACAGGTTTTGTATTGTTACAAGTCTTAATATCAGTGGTCGCAGCTGAGATGGTTACAAGCAACAAAATGTAAAATATTTTTACAAACATTATGGTGGAGAAAGCCAGACGTAACTATAGCATAACCCGCGTCGAATGACCAGACCAGAATTTATGAGAAACTATATACTTAATTTTTTATTCAACTTATCAATAACTCAATACAATCAATTTGTGTTTCGTTTCCAGCAAATTTAAAAAAAAATGAAACGTGGTAAACGAAAAAGTGAGAATAACATGAAATCAATGGTCCACTCCATCAAAAAATCAATCAGAAAATCATATCAATAATTTGACAAAATTCTATATTTTTTATGAAAACAGTTTTTTAAAGATTTTATGATAAAAATGCAGGATACATTTCTGTATACAGGTAGGACCACGATATAAAGCTTAGTTTGACGTGATTGAGTGCTCTCCTAATGCCGTTTTCTAGCCTGGGTAATGGTAAAAAACCGCACAGCAAACGTTATTGGTGAACAATAATCAATTCTCATTCACTTATTAAATCAATGAGAAAACCAAGTACTCCAGTTATCATGCTGCTCTGTATAATACAAATTTTGCTCTTTATGCACTGGAGAAGACGGCAGATCATAGAGTGCTTGGCTTTGGGCGTGAGTGTAATCAACTCATGCGCTTAAGTGGAACACTGTGTGAAATCGAAAGATAGTGCGCCCAAGACAGGCCTTGAGTTTGTGTATTTTTGAAGAACTGAAGGCAGCAGGGGTGTCATGAGAGATTGCAAACCTGATAGCCGGGGACCGGGACGAAATGGAAGTGTATGGTTGAGGCCCTATGTTCAAAGAGCGAAGAGGACTAAATCAAGTCATATTCAACTCAATATTATTACAGGAAGGGGAGGCAAGGTTGAGTAGGTAAAAGCCTTTGGGGAGATATATATTTATATGTATATAGATAGACAGATATACTGTAATATACATTATATAAGAATATATACATGCAAGTATACAAACTCCAGATTTACGGGTTAGCGGTCCAGCTCTCTACCGCCAGACCACTCCGGTCATAAATGTATACGTACACACTTATGAAAGCCTCCGTATTTAAATGTTCTCGTATTTACGTTCCCTCCACTAAAAGTGAGTGAGAGCTAAATGATCAGCACTTATTTAGTTACCGAACTCCGCAAGCGTCTATGATTTATTTGTACTGCCAGCAATGCCCTGGAGTCTGTGAGTGTCGAGGCTTGCTAGACTGATGGACGAGTGTGATTAAACCCATTGATTTGACATCTGTAATGAAACACCCTTATGTACATAAGCGGTAAAAAATCAAATAAACAAATCAGTGCATTCCCATTAATTAATTTTGATAGAGGAAACCAACTTAGCCGAATAAAAATTAAATCGAATTATACAATTAACATTTTAGAAAAACACAAATAAAGGCTCGAACATTTTGTTTAAACTAAACAGCTTCTGAGCAGGAAGCAATGACAGCTGATGTTAACAAGAGTGGGCTTTAGTTTAGTGGGTCTAAGTAATTTCAAGGGAGACAACCAGTATTCATACAGATCGTATCTGATGATTTAAAACAAAAATAAATTATTGATTGTAAGATAATTTTTCGACTATGGCCTCAACATCGTGAATATGGACTGATGTTTTATCAGCAGCAACTCCCCCCCCCCACACACACACACAATCCATACATCGCACACCGTTGACCAAACCACACGTCACATCTTTTGTTTATAAGATAGATCGACTGTCATCAACTCTATACACTTGTGCAACACTGTGTTGCAAAAACGTCATTCAATCAAAGGGAAACAACTTTATACATTTTATCCATCAAGACTTGTTCAACACATTATCACCCTTTATTAAAAACTCAACCTGTGAAATGTAAGTATTTGAGAAATGTTATCATTCTAATTTTTGGGAAATTTGTAAAAAACCTGCTTTTTAGAAAAGGTAACTTATATTACTTTAAACACTACTGAGTGGAATTCTGTATTTAGTAAATTAAAGACCTTACAACACTGACAAAATTATTAGACACTAAAAGTAAGAACATGTGACGACGTATATAGTGTCAACAAAGATGTACTCGATATCGAAACAACATGATAAAATTCAAAAGAAAACTTGCCGTCGATGTACATTAAAAACTTGTCACCCCTCACGAGAATGTAGTGGCTGACGGTCTAAGCTTTTATGTAATAATGAACTGAAAGAAAGAAATAAATGATTTTCTTTATACATATAATAATACGTTACTATTTAAATAACTAAAAAGGAAATCACGTTTTTTCTCTAGTTTAAAGTCCATTATTACATACAAGCTTGTGTTTAAAACTGTTTTTGTTTAAAAAAAAATAAAAAAATTGTGTTTATTTACTGAAAATACATAAACGTCAAAAAACATCCATATTTTTTAAATAATAAAAAAAAAACAGTCAGGATTTTATAACCATATTTGTTTCAATTACACCGTGCATGATTTAAAAAAAAATTAATTTGCCTCTCAATACCTTTGAGACTATTCTTGCTTGGGTCCATTGGTGCATTACATCAGTAGCGTAGCGAGAGGGGGGGGGGGGGGGGGGACGACATATGTCGTTGGAAAAATAAATTGAAAGGTTGAAGGGGGTGCATATCGAAATCTTGAGGGGGGGGGGGGTTGCAAATCGAAAAGTTTGTCCCCGGGCACCGGGAAGGGTCGCTACGCCTCTGCATTACATGCATTGTTTAAAACAAGGAATGATGTCGTATATACCCTACTTAAACCAGAATAAAAATCCCGATCATTTGTTCTGAGAGTAACGTCCCAGAGTAAAGAAAGTAAAGAGATTTTTTTCACGTTCACCGTTCTATAATTATTTTCTATTATTTGTATTGTAATATGGTCTAGCTGAATATTGATTAAAATCTAGAAAGAGTATGCCTAAAGGTGTTCTTTAATATGATCTTTTTAATAATCCCAACGTATTTAGAACAGTGAATTCAGTGAAAAAAAGTATTTTGTGTGTTGTAACAAATTAATTATCTTTTACTTAAAACTAAATTTTACTTTTATGTTTATATTGTATATACTATGTTTTTTTAAATTTTTGTTGGCATTATCAAATTTAAAACATACAGTTTTCAGTCATGAAAACATTAATGACAGCCATATACATAACATATACGGAGCCTCATGTTAAGGTAGTTGAAGGAGCTGTACCTACAGTAAATCTTGTTCCGTTTTGTAACTGTGTTTTTCAATATGAGGTAAATAACGATTATATAAAAAGCTCAAGAAGACCCTGTGTAACAGTTTACAAACCCGTGGAATTTATGCATGTATTAAAACACACGACTTGATAGCATTGTGTGATATTCATGAAGTGTTTTCCTTTGAAATAAAATTGAAATGGATGATTAAAAAACACAATATTGATTATTTTAAACTAAATTTTCATTTTTCAACTTATCTTTCTGATTTACATACCGTAAAAAAATATGAAATAGAGTGTTTTACCCTTTACGAAGGTTCCAAAAACATATGCGACTTGCAAAAAAAAAACATAAAAAAATAAATAAACAATTTTTTAAACGTTCGTTTAGATGTTTGGTGTTGTATATGCGTTTGTGTTTGCGTTTGCGTTTGTGTTTGTTTTTATGGTTGTGTTTGCATTTGTGTGAATGTTTACGTTTTCGTTTATGCTTGTGTTACGTTTACGTTTGCATTTGGGTTCGTATTTGTATTTGTCTTTTATTTTGCGCTTGTGTTTGCGTTTGTAATTGTGTTGCGTTTGGGTTTGTGTTTATGTTTACGTTTATGTTTGCGTTTCGTTTACGTCTACATTTGTTTGTATTTGTGTTAGCGTTTGTGTTTGCGTTTGGATTTTTGCATGTGTTTTAGTTTGCGTTGGTGCTTGCGTTTGTGTTTGTGTTTGTGTTTGTGTTCGTGTTTTTGTTTTATTTTTTATTTTTTTAATTTATTTTTGTGTGGTCGGATATGGTAAGGGTAAAGCTTACATTTAGTGCTATGTTTTAGGCTAGTCAGCCAAATTTGCATATAGATATTTAAATGGAAATGTAATGCCGGGTATATTCCGGTGAACGGAAATTACTCAAAATTTGACAGATGGCAGAGATTTAGATATTTTACTTACACGTTAAATCTGAAATAGTACTCAAGTTGTAGACTTTTGAAAAATTGAAAGTAGAAAAAGTTCCACTTCCGGTTATCGGAAATCGCTCAAAAACTAATACGGATCTACGATTTTGATATAATACTTATATATGAAATTTCATTATCCTAGCTGTAACGGTACTCAAGTTATCATGTTTACACACAAACACACACAGACAATCATACACACACACAGACATATGGATAAGATTGCAAAATTATGTTTTTCCGACTTGATTTTTTTGCACGATTACAAGACTTTCTCTATACTTCGTATATTCGAGAAAGTAAAAAGGTATGACGTTTGGGTAGTTTCATCATACTTCGGAATTCAAATTACTAAGCATGAGCGTACACTGCAGGATCTCTAATGTGTAAATCTCAGAGGGTGGGGAGAAAGGGGGGTGGTGAGCGAGGCACTTTCACCACCGCCACCCCATTTCCCCCCAATCACCCATTAGTTTTAAACACTTCGTCCGAATAAAATTGTCTAAACATAACTCTGGTAACGATGTTATAGACGAATAAAAATGATAATTTTTTTCTTTATTTTTATTTCTAGCCCATAAGTTTGGGTCAGTTATCCAGATCACAATTTATTCTAGTAAAAATACTACATTTTGCTCAATATGAAGGAAGTTTCTGTACCAGAAATATTTCCGTTTTCTTGCATAAAATACAGCAAAATATGTTCTAAAACTCAACTAGTTTTCTAAAAAGATTTGTAATTGGTATAATTTAATCAGTGTAACTAATTTATTAAAGAAAACACATCACACTTTGTTATATTGTCAAGTAAACATCAGCAGATCAAAAACTGAAGGTATAGACGTGAAGTGTAGGGTACAG